TCTGCAGCAGCCAGGGCTAAGATTAGCCCGTCTGCAGCAGCCAGGGCCAACATTAGCACATCTGCAGCAGCCAGCGCTAAGATTAGCCCGTCTGCAGCAGCCAGGGCCAACATTAGCCCATCTGCAGCAGCCAGGGCTAAGGTTAGCCCATCTGCTAAGATTAGCCCGTCTGCAGCAGCCAGGGCTAATCCTAGCCCATCTGCAGCAGCCAGGGCTAACGTTAGCATGTCTGCAGCATCCAGAACTTTGAAAAAATACAAGTACGACCACAAATTTACGGGAACTAATTTACAAGCCGTGCTGAAGCCGTCATGCTCCGCACCAGGTGGTGGCGATGACGGATGCTAAAGTTGTTATGCCAACTGACCTTAAGGAAGATATAAACAAAACCATAGACAGAAAGTTAAGCTGCACAGGTACTGAAAACATCTCACCATGTCACCACCCGATCCGTTCCTGAAGCACCATCCGTCCTGTGCATGCACAATCAGCTCATTTGGGCATCCAGATATACATCCAGGTCGCCCTCAATTTTATTTTGTTAAAAAGACCTAAAGGAAGATTTTCCCTCCCAAAAAATAGTAAGTGTATAAAAATATTATATGTTAAACATTAAGGTGTAATGTATTTCCTGAGAAAATAAATGCCTTTCTGTTTGATCACTCTGTGCCTGATCTACACCAGAAATGGGATCCTACGCTACTTCCAGGAGCTAACTTTTTCAGCTTTGGATTTAAACATAAATCTAGTCTTTTTGAGTTTTATGTTTTTATTTCTTTTTAACCTTATGCTATATAGTGCGTAATCTAAAGGAAGATATGGTTAAAATGCAGATAAACATGGTTTAATCATGTTTTGTCAGATTGCTCTAGGCATGTCCGATGATGACTGAGAAGCAATTTAACGAAAAAAAGCGTAAAAAGCATCAAAATGGTCTCACAAAACTAATTAAATATGTTTATTAGCTTTCTTTAGTAAGTTATGGGTAGAAATAAGTAGTTTTAGTACCATAATTACATCATTTACGGACACCTGGATGTATATCTGTTCGCGCATGCGCAGGACGGATCGTGCTTCCGGGATGGATCAGGTAGTGACACAGCTAAGATAGATGGTTCTGTATTGTTTTCTTATCATTTAAAAGCGGTTGGAGAATACGTTTAAGGTGCGTTCCTGCCACCAGCTGGTAAGGAGTGGAACAGCATCGTGAGGGTTATATATTAGGACTCCTACATTAGTGACTGTATTTCTAAAAAGGTTCTAACTTGAAACACCTGACGTCACATGTATGTATGAGTAACGAGGGATAAATACAAACCTTACATTTGTTTATGTTTGCTAACGTTTACAAATTCAGACAGTTATCTTACCCCATAGCAACACACACAAGGAGAGAAGGAGCCCCAACACCTGCAGCTTTTAACAAATCATAGAAAAGCCATTTGAAGCTGTAATGATGTCGTCTCCACATCGAGACATCCCATTCTAAACTGGTTATGGCTCAGTAATGATGGAGAGCCTCAGACCAGAGGGCCCGCTCAAATCAAGCCTTTCCTTAACCCTGGTCCTCAGGGGCCACCGTCCTCATTGTTTTAGGTGTACCCCTGCCTCCACACACCTGAACTGGATGAAAAGATGATTAACAGGCTCTGATGGCTGCAGAGGAGGCAATGCAACCATCTGCATCAGGTGTGTTTCAGCAGAAGACAGTGGCCCCTGAGGGCCAGGGTTAGGAAACCCTGCTTTAACCTGCTCTGAGCTTCAGTAGGAAACAAGGAGGCGGGGAAGTGGGCTGTGTGCAGAAAGGGGACATGGAGAAGATGGAGGGGGATCCCTGCAGGCAGCTCTCATTGTGTGTGAAGGGATGACACGGATTTAAACCCCCCAGCTGAACAGCCCACCAGCACAGCCTACCCGTGTGCGTGCGCGTGTGGATCTTGAGGTTCTCGGAGCGCGCGAACATCTTGCCGCAGTTGGGAAACGCGCACGAGAAGGGCTTCTCCCCGGTGTGCACGCGGATGTGGTTGATGAGTTTGTATTTGGCTTTGAACGCCTTCCCGCCGCGCAGACACTCGTCCCACATGCAGACATGACTGAGACTCTCCAGCCCCGCCGCTACGTGCTCGCTGGTGACGTGGTCCACGAGCTCCGGCATGGAGCTGAAAGTTTGCTCGCAGACGGATGTCGCCGTCCGCCCGAGCCTCTGCTTCGAAGAAGTTCGCTCGGTCCATCTGCACACCAGCTCGGTTTTCACGGCGGGGCCTTTAGAGAAATCCAGCAGGCCGTCCGGGCCCCCCGCGGCCGGAGTGTCGGAGCAGGCGGAGGCGCTGGTGGCTCTGGCTGTGGGAGGGGAGACGATGCTCGAAGCCCCGGAGTTGTTGTTCCCCAAAGGAGAGACGAGGCCATTGTGCCTGGCCACCGCGGCCATCCGCTTCATGCTCCCAGCGAACACCAAAATCACCCAGTAACAGATGATTACGTCCCGTCTGCTCCCCGTGGCGCATGCGGCAGTGTCTCTACCCCCCGCTGCTCGACGTTAGATCCCGACAGTCAAGCCTCCATGCTTGTATTTACTGTGAATGGAGGTGAACGGATTGGAAGGAGCGGAGCAGGCTGCGATCCAAACAGGCGGAGGGGCGTCCTCGTCTCCTTTCCTCGCCCCCTTTCGGCCTCTCCTCGCTCTCTTCCTACCAGCTGCCGGGCGCTCAGAGTGAAGGCTTCCCCCTCTGTTCACCTCAGAGCCGCTAAATGGGAACATCTGTCCTCACCCATCAACATATATCCTCACCCATCAACATCCCTCCTCACCCATCAACATATATCCTCACCCATCAACATCCCTCCTCACCCATCAGCATCTATCCTCACCCATTAACATCCATCCTCACCCATCAACATATATCCTTACCCATCAACATCCCTCCTCACCCATCAACATCTATCCTCACCCATTAACATCTATCCTCACCCATCAACATCTATCCTCACCCATCAACATCTATCCTCACCCATCAACATCTATCCTCACCCATCAACATCT